GAGAGAGAGAGAGAGAGAGAGAGAGAGAGAGAGAGAGAGAGAGAGGATCTGTTCTTTGCAGTGAGTTACTTTGTTGGAGCCTGCTTAGCCTGCCCGTCCCGCAATGCAAGGTCTGAACTGGTGCCACTCGTTGAGTGTGTTCTTTCATGAGATCTCTCGGTTCTCGGTTTCTCTCTTGTAGTTTTTTTTTGCTTTTTTCCAAAACACACAGCCCCTGTTTATTCTCGGAGGGCGCCATTCCCTCTCTTGTAGTTCTACATAAGCTAGTTTTGGAGTTTTGGTGTCCTCGCCGGACTCCTCGGGTACGGTTCCGCTTCAATACTCCAGTAAAAATGTGATCGTTTTATTTCACCTTGAGCGTCTGCACATGCTAAGTTTCACCTTGGCGTGCTTTCCGTCTCAGTCGCTGCTAGCCTGCTAGAGCTTCTTTGCAAGGTGGAATCCATCTACCGCCCTAATTCTTTTTTTCTTTTTTTTTTTTTTCTTTTTTTTATTATTATTTTTTTCCCCCCTCTAACGCCCTTCTTTATGTATTTCGAATTGTCGAATTGCAAGCGCCGGCCTTTGGTGCCTAGCGGCGCCGATCCCCTTCCCTTCCCCTTTTTTTCCCCGTTCGCTACTCGGTGGCAGTGGCAAGCTCGAGCTCGCGTGCTTGCTCGCCCGTTTGTCCTCGATGGCTTGTTTCTCTTTACTCGCAGAGCTGTTATGCCACGGATCATTTCGGTCTACGACGAGGAGACACCCTGTAGAATCTCTGCACACTTTTCAGCAGTGGCTATTGAAGAGGGGGATTGCCGGATGACTACTGTCAACAGGAATGCCTTGTCTTGTCTTAGGGCATGCTCACACTCGCACTTTCCTGATGACTGAATCTGGCAGCAGTTACGGCCAGACCAGGATGCATCTGACCGCAATCACGTCCGGAGCTGAGTCGAAAAGCCCTCCCGTAGTGTGAGCATCCCTCCAGCGACGTGCTACCGGTAGTTTGAGTACAACATTAAGCGAGGAGGGAAGATTTCTGCGGTTTTCTGCTTTACTTCTTGGATGCACCGAGTCTCTCCACATCTTTTTTTCCCTGTCTCTTTCTACATGCCTTAATGGTATCCATGGCTGGCTTGCTGTTTCGGTCGTCGACAGGTTTCCTTGTGTTTCGCTTTGCTTGTTACACTTTTCGAGGCACAAGTAAAGAACCTCTTCTTCTTCATTTTGGCATATCAAAGCCCGCGGCGACGGCGGCGTGGTAGTCTGGCAGAAGCCGCAGGTCGCAGAGGGGTATGTCTTCACCAACCATAGAGCCGCCGCCACGTAGCTTTTTAAATGAGAAAGCGAGGACAGGTTCCATGGCAAGATGATAAAGTGTGATTCACGATGAAAGCAGAAAGAGACAGGAAGGGAACGGAACGGAAGGGAAGGGAAGAGAATGGAAGCTATAAGCGAGAGCTGAAGGAAGGGTGGAGTTGCGCAATCAGCATGTATCATATTACATTGCAGCAATTCGTAGTCACATGGTGAACATAGTAAGGGCAAATTGCAGAAATAGACAGATGCTGGGCTGCTTGCAAACGTGTTTGTTTGTCACCGTACCTGCTCGGACCGGTGAAGTTGCTTCGATACGTTTGCAAATCCGTATTTCTAAACGTTGCCCAGATATGTACCTGTGAGTAAAATGGCGGGAGGAATGTCGTTCCTACCTTCTTCCTCTGAATAGAAAGCAGGGTCATTATGCATGTTTTCTTTTGGGAAAAGTCATAAAACCTCCTTTCGACGAAACCTTCGTATCCATTTCCCCCCAAACAAGAAAAGAAGTGCCGCAGGTCCGAAAATCACTTTTGGTGTCATTTTTGAACCCTGGCTGGGCCGGTAAAAAACGTGATGCCCATGAGGTATCATCCTTGAACTGACCAGCCCCAGGAACTCAGAATGCTTTGATTCTGGTCATCATCTGAATCAGAACTGTATCTGATTTCGAACTTGGGTCTGTATTCCAACAGTTTGTGGGTGTACCAACTAAGGTAGACCCGTTGGTTTATGCCTGTTTTTGGTCGACTTCCAGTCCAAATACAGCAATCATAACGACTGTACGTTCTATTCTGGTGATGACGGTAGCAGCGATGCATAGCGTACGTTTACCTGCGAGTAAGATGCAGGTAGAAATGTCATTGCATTGTACAAATCTGATGGGTACCCTGATACACTCTGTCCAGAAAAAGGAAAAGAACGGACCCGAAAAAGAAAAAGCAAAAAAAACAGGCAAGCAACCTCTTGAGCTAATCCACAGCGAGTGGCCATACTCGCACTACGTGGGAGAGCTCGACATGAATTCCGACGGGAATGTCGGCTGAATACATCATGGAGCGTCCTACGATAGAGCAACTGTGTGGTCGGGGAAACGTCTGAGTTATGACCCCGCGTCTGAGCTAGCGGTTTGTGCTGCTATGATGGTGGACTGTGCCCAGCCAGGGAGGCCGCCGTTTGGTACAGGTATGTTACTGCTGACCGACAGACCACAGGCTTGAACCCTTTCTTTTTATTCCTTTTTTGCTACTTCGGACCGGTTTCTTTCCCCTCTGTTTCTAGTTTGAAGCTTGAACCATTTCTTTCGGGAAAAGTTATAGAACCTCCCCGCGCCCAAACCTTTGTATTCATTGCCGCCCCCCAAACGGGGCAAAATGTGTCGCAGCCCTCGAAATGACTTTGGGACTCATGTTCGCACCCTGGCTGGGCCGGTAACCACCACTCGCAAAAATGGCGGGGAAGTGTTTTCAGGGGTGCAAAAAGGACGCCAAAAGCCATTTTAGGGCCTGCGCCACTTTTTGCCGCGTTTGGGGCCAAACGAGTACAAAGGTTTCCTCACGGGGAGGTTCTATAACTTTTCCCATTTCTTTTTCCTTTGCTTCTAGTTTGAACCCTTCTTCAATCAGATGGTTACAACCTGACCAGGGAAGCAATCAATGCCTCGGCTTCCATTTTTTTGGAATAATAATAAGTGAGATTTGAATATGCACAGAATGGATTGAATGAGCACCGTGATTTTTTACACATTAGTACCTGGGCCTGATTTCCAGGTCGTTTACATCACATCAACCTTAGGGTTTTGTTTCTTGGTTTGACTGATAGGATTTGAGGCTTGTATTGGAGATACTGTAGATTATGTGGATAGGAATTTTCCATCATGACATATATACGGATTAACAATACATATAGATTGTATTGGATGCATAGCAAGAGATATCGACATGTTTCTGTAAAGGGACGCTGGACCCGTTTTCCAGCTGATACACATCATATCATTGTACAGGGACGCTGGACCCAATTTCCAGCAGGTGCAGCTCCCCACTAATAGATGGAGCCTTAGACGTGGGGATCTACTTATAGGGGGTGCTCTTATCACCTCGGTAAGTAGGTTTTCTGCACGAGAAGTTTTACGGAAAAAAAAGAAGAAAAAAAAAGAGAAAAAGAAAGAAAGAAAAATAGAAAAAACACAAAGAAGTTTTAAACCACCAGTACCTTTCCCCGGTTGAAAAACAAATGGGAAAAGTCATAAAACCTCCCCGCGACGAAACCTTTGTAGAGGTTTCCCCCCAAACGGCGAAAAAGGTGCCGCAGGCCCCAAAATTGCACCTTGCAAAACACTTCCCCGCCATTTTTACACAACGGCTGCAGCCAGGGGCCGGGACCCACAAGCGCCATGTAGTTTTGTTGGGCGGCAGCGGGTGACGTCAGGCGCCGGCGGGCGGCGAATCCTGGATGAATCATGGACCCGGATCGGACGTGCGCACAGCCAACCCGCTTGAATCTGAGAAGAGCGGGGGGGTTCAGAGTCTTTCGGACATTTGTATCTGCTGAGACGTGGTTTAGGAGGAGGCGAGGCTGTGTGTGACGCTCAACCTCACGCCCTGTGCTGCTTCCTGGTCGGAGCGTTTTGGCTTGCGGAAGGGCCCTGGGAGGACAGCGAAGATGGGGTGTGTCAAGGATTTTAGGAAAAGTTGAGTGTGGGGACACAGACAGAACTGAAATCCCCCGTGAAGGTCCGACTTTTAGTAGTAAGGAGGTCCGCCGCCGCGCGGGTTTAAAGGAGAAAAAAAAAGGTGTGCGCGGGAGTCACGGCTATGGGAAATTCAATCCAGAAAGTATCGCTGGACTTCCCAGCGAGCCATCGCTCTTCGTTTCGTGTGAAAGGGGGCGGGTACACACGTGGCATCCCATTTACGGATAAGGTCTCGTCGGGGCTTGTTACACAACTCCGAGTCCGACGTGGAGGGCCTCAATTGAGTA